GGGCGTAAAAATGGCTCCAACGCCTTGGCCCGCTTTTTTAAGTAGGTATAGCGCATATATAGGAGGCGCTATATAGGACATTTGCAATTTTAATGTATTTTGACACATAAATTTTTACTCCGCGTCGAAAATTATGGGTTCAATTAAACTCGTAATTACCACACTAAATTACCGTCGAAAGGCTACGGTAACTAGTGAAATTGAAGTTATTCTTTTTTCAAATGATAGCACAAGCTGAAAAATAGGCAAATGTCCTAATAAAGATTTAGGTGGGGAAAGTTGTCTTGTTGTATACCACTTAGAGTAGAAAGGATGGACCCTTTTTGGTGGCCAACATATGAGCATTAATTCTTAGCAAAAGCTATAACGCAATTTTATAAGGCGCTATACCTTCTCGCTCATTTTACATTCACATATAGCGCCTTATATTAGGGCACTATACTTAACCGGGCAAATGGCCTTTAAGGTATAGTGCCTTATAAAATGGCGTTATGTATATTATGATCACCAGTTTTTATTTCCACACATTTTGGTTCCGGACTCTTGCAGCCAGCCCAAATCATAGACAGGGAACCAACTTAGCAGTGTAGTCTACAATCTAAAAGAAAGGGCTACTACTCCTTCGGCCGAACTTTTATACTCAAATTCTTTTTTTTGGTTTGCCAAGTGAGTTTCTCAAATTTTCTCTGACTTATTTTCTCTATTCACATAATCGAGCGTTTTAGCTTTTTTCCCTCTTAATTCAGTACGAGCTTGTAATTCGAACTCCGCTTCAAGTGAGTTTCTCAAGTTACGTAACCTGCTCGCTGCTTCAAGGCTTTCCTAGAAGTCCGAAAAACTTAGTCTTTAATCCACATATAAACTTTAAAACCATGTTACATGTATATATCAGAATCTTGGGGAATACAAGTATCACATCTTCTTGAATACTCCCTCGTCCCATTTTGACTATCATTTTAGCTTGTTTTACCTCCATTAAGAGAGTAATAAATATAAAGTATAGTGTACCAACTTATCCATATTAAAAAGAACTACTCCTTATTCAATATTAAGGATATTGTTTGACCAAAAAATATAATTTTCGGCTAAACTATTAAATTTATACAATGAGAGATTAGATCTAGTTAAGGATAATAACTCTAGATGTTAAGCACACAGATGTATATTAGATGGGAAAAATTTCGTATGTGGTTGGTGACAATAAATATTAAATTCTCTTAAAGCAAGAACATTAAGGGAGATATAGCCAACAATAAATGTCAATAAATGGCATTTAAATAAACAGGAAGAATGATTCACTAAATAATGGATGAGTTGGACGAATATTTTACCTGAAAGTGATGAATGACAGATAGATCCAAGATTCACATGAACGATCCTCGGATGGAAAGTGGGGAACAATATGAACAAGAATCTTTGTATAAAGGTAATCTTTGTGTTTTTGCTAGAGGAAAAGTCCTATTCTCAAAAGTGTTTTTATCAGAATCAATATTACATGCCCCTATCATTGTCCCCTCTTTCTATATATATGGGACCTTTTTCTTAGGAAACTTTAATAGTACAAATGCAGGGAATATTCACGAGAATATTCCCTTTTGATACTCTATCCAGACAAATTAGCCGTTACAAGTCTTATCATCAGTAGTCGATCTCGACCTCGATCCTTGTTGACATCTTGATTACGATAACTGTCGTTATCTTGACCACGGCTCATGTCGGCACCTCGACCATTGACCTCGTAGCGTCTTGGGCGAGCTCGACCGATAACTTTCTTTAATACCATATTACGCCAAATAATCTGAAAACGGATTTTGGCCTATTGATGTTTGGCATATTTTGATATGTGTTGATGTTACTTTACCCATGTTTTAACCGCTTCTTGATGTTATTTGATCTTTAAAATGTCCAACATGGTTTAATTATTGGTTTTATGACTAATTGAGTTGTGTGTGGTGAATTAGGGTGTTTGGAGTGCAAAAATATGAAGAAAAGGTGCTCTAGGTAGAGGAAGAGAGATTGGATGCGTCGCATCCATCTAGAAAAAGATCAGTTTGCGCACCCTTAGCAGTGAAGTCAGCCCATAGCATCCGCCATAGCATTCGCACCTGGGCAAAATTGAAATGGAGGACGAGG